TAGTCGTAGAGTACGAGCCATGAGGGGTAAGGTGACACGACTCTGGTGGACACAAGTGGAAATAGGTAGTACCTTCTATCGCTAACAGATGGCGCTAATAGCACGTACTGAAGTCAGTTCCTATGACACTGTTGTGAAATAAAATAGTGCGTACCTCCTTAAAACGTGTTTGTGCGTGTTTAAGTTTTAAGACATCTTTTGTAACAGTATTTTGATTTGAATTGTTGCTTTTTGTGTGTGATTTAGTAGTATGGAAAAGAAGCGAAAAATTGATAGTGAATGCAGAAAATTCAAAGATCAGTGGAAACATTCAGTATTTCGTAATTGAGTCCAGTAACAAGGCGCTATGTTTGATTTGCAATGAAAGCATAGCCGTTCTCAAAGAATATAACATTAAACGTCATTATGAAACAAAAACATTTTCAAAATTACTCAAAATATAACAGGAAGTTTGCGACAGAAAAATTTGAAGCTATGAAGCGGAGCGATTGAAATCGCAGCAATCTTCATTTACAAAAACTCAAAACTGAAACAAGAGGCTGCAACTCGTGCCAGCTTTCGTGTGGCTCTTGAAATTGCAAACGTGGAAAAACCATTCACCGATGGAGAAATGATCAAAGAATGCATAATTGCAGTAGCCGAAGAAATATGCCCTGAAAAGGTAAATTTATTAAAAACTGTCAGTATGTCAGCAAAACACTGTGGCTCTAAGGGTACAAAAAACATCGCTGAAAATATATCCTCTCAACTGTTCGACAAAAATGGACATGTTGAGTGGTTTTCTTTGGCTTTGGATGAGTCAACGGATGTGTCAGATACTGCTCAGGTGTTGATTTATATTCGAGGAGTAGATAAAAGCTATGAAGTGCATGAAGAACTTCTTGATATGTATAGTATTCATGGCACAACTACTGGTACAGATATTTTTAAAGGAGTTGAAATGGCCATTAATCAAAGAACCTTCGATGGAAAAAAACTTGAAATGTATTACAACTGATGGAGGCAAAAACATGAGTGGGAAAGATAAAGGAGTGGTCGCTCTTGTGTCAAAGGCTGTAGAAAATGACGGTGGTTTCAAAACCATTAGTCTTACAATTGTATCATTCATCAAACAGTCTTGTGCGGAAAAATGTTTGGATATGTCTGAAGTTCTGAAACCAGTCATATCAACTGTTAATTTTATCAGATCTTTTGGGCTGAATCACCGACAATTCCGACAATTTATTGAAGAGATTGGAGAAAATGACTTACCTTATCATACTGCCGTTACGTTGGCTTAGTTGTGGGGAAAGTCCCTTCAGCGCTTTTTTGAACTTCGAGCAGTGATCGAAATTTTTTTGAATGAAAAGCATCGCCCTCTTACTGAATTACAAAACAACGCATGGCTGTGGAAGTTAGCATTCTATGTTGATTTGACAAAACATGTGAACGAACTGAATTTGAGATTGCAAGGAGAAAACCAGCATCTTCCTGATTTATACACTAATATCAAATCATTCCGGAAGAAATTGATACTGTTTCAATCACAACTACGAAGTAAATGTTTTTCACATTTTAAAACATGTGAAATATTTAGCCAACACCACTGAGACTGAGTTTCCTACCGATTTTGCAATCGAAACTTTGAGTGATTTGAAAATAAATTTTGATACTCGTTTCTCGGACTTTGATGCCATTGCGAATCAAATTAAGATTTTTCAGAATCCTTTGATACTGACATTGAAACCCTAGCCCGGAACTTCAAATGGAAATGATTGATCTACAGTGCAGTGATATAATTAAGAACAATATCAAAACTCATCTTTGTTGGAATTTTATAAGAGTCTTCACTGACACAATTTGATAATTTGCATAAATTTGCTCGTGGGCTCTTTTCTGTTTTTGGTACTACTTATTGTGTGAGAAGACCTTCTCCAAAGTGAAGTACACAAAAAATGTTTACAGATCTAAATTAACTGATGAGCATCTTAAATCTCTTTTAATAATTGGTACAAGTAAATTAGTCCACAACTACAAAACTATTGTCAGTGGAAAATCTCAATTACATAAATCTCATTAGTATTTCATATGTCATTATACTTTTTATAAGTTATGTTTTATTTAAAATGTATAAAATGTTAGTTGGATTCATTTCAATAATTGTTAGTTATTATATACTGAAGTTAAATTTTCTGCATATTATACATGTCTTTACTCATTACAGTTATGTGTTTCTTTATCCAACTTATCACAAAAACAATAACAATAAGCCTACAACAATGTTATGAGTAGTTAGCCCATGACCATATCAATGTAGATGTCATATTAATAATTATTCAACATAAAATTATAATACTTCAGTAAACTAAATTTAATTTTCTATAAAAAATATGTTCTCTAAAAGGAGTTTTCAAGTATGCGGGACGGACAAAATCTATCCGCGGGCCGTAGTTTGGAGACCCCTGGATTACAGCATAGTCAGAGCTGTATACAAGGCAAAACCCGGATTCCTCTGCAAGTATTTCAACAAATTGCTGGAGCACAGGTATTTTCCAATGGCATTCAAAACGGGGCAAGTAGTCCTCTTTGCCGAACCTGAGAAGCATCCGAATGACCCAGCCTCCTTCCACCCGATATGCTTGTTGTCGGCAATAGGGAAGGTTTTTGAAAAACTTTCAGTCACAAGACTAAAGCATTACCTTACCCGGAAAAAATTCTTGTCGCAGCTACAATTCAGTTTCAGGGAATGCATATCAACGGTCCATGCCCTTGATCTCCTGCAGAAAGAAATCATGGAAGCTCGCAATAACAATCAACACGTAGCAGTACTAAGTTTAGATCTAAGGTGCATTTGATTCCTTGTGGTGGCCTGCTGTGCTCGAAGCTCTGCACACAGCTGATATTCCAAACAATCTTTTACAGTTTTTTAAAAGTTACCTCAGCAACAGACAATTAATAGTTGTGCATGACGTAGGAATTATTACCAGACAACAGACCAGGGGCTATCCACAGGGATCATGCGCTGGTCCTGTCCTATGGAACGTGACGTTCAATTCGATCTTGTGCACTCAGTGGCCGGAAGGAGCGAAGGCATTTACATTTCAAATAATGCTACATCCATCGTCAGAGGGCACAGCAGGGACGTTCTTGAAGCCCGCTGCAATGACGTCATCTCGCAGTTTGACATGCTCTGCAGCCAAAAGAAGCTACGAATCTCGGAGCTCAAGTCGAAATATATAATATTCCATAAACCTGGGCAGATCCTCCTCCGTAATCCATGTATCGCCTTAGACAAAAGAGAGTAAGCGAGTGAAAGAACTAAAGCTTCTCGGCTTAACCCTCTCACTGCGTACGTTTTTTTTTATCAAAATAGGTTCAAAAATTGCGCATTTTTTATTACATATTTCAAATCTACATATATTTTAGTGTTAAAATACACAAAAAGTTTTTGTAAAAGAGTTTTTTTCAATAGAGAATTAGATCATAGAAAAAGGTTGTCAGAATACTGAAATTGAAGAATTATGATATAAAAGGAAAATTCCGAAAATTAATATTGGTTAAATTATTATTTATTTTATAAAATACAAAGGTAAAACATGTATACTAATGAAAATATTTGCATAATGTAATATTTTGCATATAAATTTTGCACCGCTGTCCAACATTTTCAATAGAAACTGTGTTTCATCGGATGGGGTCGCAGAGCCATCAGCCCAATCAGGATTTTTAAAAGGCCGAATATCAGTGTCAAAAGCTTTTAAAGAAAATAAAATTCTCCTCAGCACATAGCCATCATGAGCTTTTCTCTGCAGGAGAGCAATCTCACTCGGTCGATCGAAGTCTTTATCAGCTTTACCTTCTGGTATCAGTCTTGACAATGTTTGCTTAGGTATTCTAAACAAATACTGTAAATTTGATTAGGAACACCCTGTAACCTAATAGAAAACTTAAAAAATAAATTCATTAAAAAATGGTGTAGTGATATAATTATCATGATATTTATTCATTATAAATTTCTCAAAATTTAAAAAATAGTGATTAAAATTATTGTTTGAATTTGTATTTCAATTCTTGTGAATTTGATTTATTAATTTTATCAAAATTAATTGATTTTTTTCCAATAAAAATCAAAATTAACTTACCACCAGCTAGAAAGCGTAAAGTAACATGCAGCCTCTCAGATGGTGAGATTGCACAACGCAAAATCGTATCCTGTTTTTTAATTTTGCTGCTCACTAAGTTTAATAAATAATCAAAATCGCACGGCATCATTCGCAAATACTTTCCAAATTCCCCCCTGTCTTCAAAACGCAGCTCTTGAAACAGGGTATTATGGGCTCCATGAATTTCTCTGCGTTTCACCCAATTTCTAGTCCAAATACGCTTTCTTTTTTCTTCTTCTGCAGCAGCAGCAGCGAAGATCAAAATCGCAGATGTTGCTACAGTATCAATTAAAGGGAAATCTTCATCCATTATTATTGTCACCTTAATCACTCCCGCACAGTTTTGTTTACACTAAGGAGCCTTAGTTTACATTAGAGCTACTACCTTTATAGTAGCCTTAGGCTTTGTGAATAAGCTAGTCGATTTGTCCATGACGTCAAAAATTCGAAAAGTGGGGTAGGGTTTGGAAATACGCGACTGTGCTATTTCGTAAAAAAAAAAAAAAAAAAAAAAAAAAAAACTTACAAATTAAAAGGGAAGTAAATTTTTTAAAAATATTCTCGAAGAGACTCGGTTGCTTCTAAATAATTTTGTAACAAATTTAATAAATAAAGTGAGAAATCGTCATTAATCTCTTGCATTCCTCTTACCTAGGATGTATCGGAAAGTACATATTCAACTGACATGTGCACAAAAATAAAATTTTTAAAAAACAATTATACAGTTTATTTCCAGCAGAAAATTTTCAAATTTAAAATCGTATTTTTGAAACGTTTTCATTTTTTCATTCTATTTTTTAACATTCGTTAAGTTATTATTAGAAAGCTTTTACCCACCCTCACATCCTTCACCTGTCAGTTCATACTGGGAAGTTGTTTGTTTATAAGTACGCGGGATGATTGTTATGACACATAGTTTGTAGGAGTTATTGTGTTGTAAATCTAGTTACTATGATACTTAGTATAAATAATTTATTTATTGATATTACTATGTGCTAAAAAATTTACACTGTCAATTTGACATTCTTACAGCATTATTAAATGAGTATTATGTTGTATTTTCGCGTTCGTAGTTCCTATTCATGTAATTTTATAGAAAATTTAGTTTTTTGATATAAGAATTCTCTGCAAGAATGTGAAATTAATAACACATAGTCTCCAAAATTATTACGTTCATTTACGTAATTGTGGTAAGTTTAATGTGTGTTCTTTGCGGCAGTTTGAAATTTTATGAAACTGTGTTTCAGTAGTGCACAAGATTTTATGTACTTTCATTTATTGTAGCTGAATTGAAATATGCTAAGTATGTGATTACTTACTGAAAAAACTAGCTTTCTGTATGGTCTAAAAATATAGATTAATTGATATAATATACTTTTCTTAATTTTAACTTTTTCTATTGCAGTTTACTTTTCTGCATTAAGATTTGAAACTTGAATTTCTACGCACGTTTAGTACCTAATAATAAAATGCATGCTTAGAGAGAGAAAATGATAAGTATTATAGGTTTAAATAATTGCTCAAAAATTAAGTAACATTAAAAGGCAGTTAGAAGAATTAATGAATTATGGGATTTATCCCAATTGATATTTATAAATTCAATTTTTTATTAGTATCATTCTGATATATAAAATAACATATACATCTTTTAATATTTGTTGTGCCTTTAAAAATATTAGGCATGGGTTTAATTTCAACAAAGGATGCTTAACTAGTGTCTAGAAAGAACATTTACATTGTTTAAATACCCTAGAAAGTTCATTTATATTCTTTTTGCAATGAGTCCTATGATAATTTATTAAAATTTTATTTTCATACATATTATGAGTAGCCAACAATGTTAAAGAGCATCATATTGTGTAAAAATACTTATTTCAATGCAGTGGAACTGTATATAGGGATGCCTTCTCACTGTTTATGACTTCTAAAAGAGACCAGTATTTCCGAGAGCACAAATAAGCAGCAGTATCAAAATTAGCTTTCTTTGTTTCATCAGCTTTCTTCACAGACCAAAATGATTATGTAATTGTAGGGGGTTTCATTGTATATTATTTCTTTTCCAATCAGACTTTTTATTTATTTTAACACTTCAATTTATTATGTACTTAGTGTAACAAGTTTTCAGCCAGTTATTTCCTAGCAGAGGATTTAAAACTTAATTAACTGATCATATGTATAAAGGATACTGGCTTCCTGTCAGAGAATGGAATATCACAACTGTGAAAGTGTTATTATTACACGAAGATCTTTTTATTCTTTGCAGTTGTTTTAATGACAGGAACACTTATGCTGGCCTACTGTCTTAAAGTTTTGTATTCTTCAGATTGTTCTTGTGGCCCACCAGCATTCCACAGAATAAGACTGCTGAACATAGTTCAGCCTAGGCTCAAATCCTAGCAAATGGGCTGGTCATGTCATTTTTTCATCTGTAATGTAAATGTGAATTAAATTCTCTTAGTAAGTCCTCCATGTAGGTATCCCTGTCCTTAGGCAGATAGCGGTAGTAAGTACATTTTACCATATTTTAATAAATCCAAACTCTAGTCTCTATTGTGATTTCTTTTCAAGTGAATCAGAGAACGGCTTTCTTGTTAGAAGGTAGATCTGCTTGGGGCCAGTAATGTCACCATTGTACTTTTGGGGCACTTTCATTTTGTAGTATTTAGTACGAAGAGCTGTTTTGCAGTTGATACTTTCTACCATAGCTGTTCTGCATACAAAAAACTCCTACTGGGTCTACTTAACCACTTCAGGAGTTAGGCAAAATAACAAATGATGTCGAAAATTACATTCAGATTTTTTTTTTGATAATGTGACTTCTTAAACGTGAAAACTTCTGAAGCTTCTTCTTGCTTTTTGATTGGTGGTCTGTTGTATTACATTGGCTTTGTAATTTATCTGTTTACTGCATTTAAAAAGATAAGCCAAATAGGAATAATTTTTTTATTATTTGTTTTAGAACTACTCTGATATGCGCCATCAAGTCGCCAAATATTTTTGGCGAGAAACTTCACGCTGCCATATTAATATCTAAATTTTTTGTCTACATTTCGAACTTTAAGCCTAAAATGTCTCCAAAAACTACGTTTTGAACACATGATTTAAGCTAAAAATCCAAAACAAAAACAAAAAATTTAGATAGCAAAAACGTAAAGTTTCTAACCAAAAATATTTGACAAGAATCCATGTTCACAGCGACATGTTTTAACTTAAAAAAAATCTACGAATGGCACACTGTAGGCAATGAACGAATCTACAAACTACGCATGCCTCGCTTTAATAAATTAACATAACAACAATAAATTTCAAAGAATACCATGTACACAGGGTTCTGTTTCAACTTTAAAAAACATCAGTTGATCTTTAGATTATGGTAACTTGGCAATTTTTTGGCAAAAATTTGGTGACCAACTCTGCTGCTGCAACCCTCTATTTTTTTTTCGCCACCATTTTGTCTTCACGAAGTAAAGACATGTTCCTTTTCTTTTTATTTACTCAACACTTTTTCTAACAATCTACTAGCCGAATTACACTTATGCTAGAAATTTTATGTAACAAAACTGCGTAATCATGACAAATATTAACTGCAGAATTGGGTAAATGTGCAGAATCGCAAACTCCTTGCGCGTTTTTCAGAATAGCAGATACACAGTAACCATGTACACGTCGACTTATTTTTACTTATAAAAAATCCCAGAATTGCACAAAAATGGCATTGCACACACTCTTAACTTTATCCATCTACACTGCTATTTTCTCATAAATTACAAAAATTTGCACGAAAATGCAGGAAAATTTTCTTAATCTTTAAACTCGATAAAAAGCACATATATGAAATTACCTGATCGCGAAAAAGTACATACCCTTTCCAAGGATAAAAATTTCCACGTATAAAATAAATAAAATATCCAAAAGCTTTTACCTCTAAATTATCTATTATATTATAAACGTCACTAACGAATTTATATGCAAACATTAAAAATAGTTACAAATACTTAGTGTCAAATATTTAAATTATTTCCATACACATTTACTTCAACTGAAACGTATACCAAATTCCTACAAACATAAAATTCACAAAATAACTATCATTTAATTAAAATATCATTAAACCATGTACACGTCGACTTATTTTTATTTAAAAAAACATCCCAGAATTGCACAAAAAAATGGCATTGCGCACACTCTTCACTATATCCATGTACACTGCTTTTTCTCATAAATTAGAAAAAATTTCACGAAAATGCATGAAAATACTCAACATATACTACTCAAACGTATTCCAAAATACTACAAATATATAACTCACAAAATCATGATCATTAAATTAAAATATAATTAAATTAAAAAAACACTACTTAGAATATAAATAAGCACATACATTAAATTAATAAAAGTTAGATTGCAATCCTAGTTACTTTAAACTAAATCATTGCTTATAACAATTTTCCAATAATACCACATTAATTTATTTACTCCTTACATTTAGAACAATGCATAAAAATAATATCCTCAAATGATTAAAAATACTAACTTACCTAATCTTCTTCAGAACTTTCATTACGTGGCTGCAGTACTAGTGCTAATTTCTAAATCTGAAGTCCAGTAGTCAACTGGAAGTCTATTCACCAAGTAATAAGAAATTAATAAAATTTCACCTATACTCAAACTACTTCAGCAAAGCACGTACCCTTCCTTACACTGCGTTTCACAAAATGTCCATTTTCACCAGATTTCTTGCACCGCCATTTAAACTTAACTGTAATATCCTTCCTTTCACACAATCTCAACTTATTATTATTATCAGATAAACGCATTAAAAATTTAGAATTCACTTTACATAGCATCGCTTCTCGGCCTTTTGGCTAAGATCAAAGTGTAGTATCACTTTACATAGTGCCATGCAATCCGAAAATTAATCAACACTATTTCACACAACACACAATGAAGCTTAATACAAAATAATTTTTCCAAATTAACCCCCTTTTCCGATTAAAGAACTGTAATTCGTCCATTAATGTCACATGACATATCTCATGATCTCTCATTTCCCTCACACAAAATAATGCGTAATCGAAACAGTACTTCTCACATTATTAGCAAAGTCCTAGGTAGTAGTAACCTTTATCACCTCCAAAATGTCGCCAAACTACCTGTTACCATATTCCAAAGATCAGCCAAAACATCTACGAATTGCACAATCTACACTAAAAACAAATCAAGAAAATAAACTAAAATAAATTTCAGACAATTCAAAAAACAACAATAAAAATAGAAATTCATACAAAAAACAATGAATATAACATTCTACAAAATAAAAACAATAAAATAGATGCACTTACCATAATGAAAGCTTCTTTTAAAAGCAGAAATATCTTTTCCCCCTATCTTCTCAGATACAGAGCATACACAGTCCAAAATACATTCGTTAATAAAATTTCGCCAGTCACACAACGTCTGTGAAGAAAACTTCCACGATTTTGCTATATCACATGCCTTCCTACGATTCAAAATTTCGAAAGTAACAATAAAAACTTCCTCCAACGTTAACTTGCTACACGAAAACCAAGATCCAAACCTTAAACTCCGCTGACACCCCATACTTTATTAGCAACAAATTTTACTGCAAACCCACACAAGTCTATCAGAAACACCATTTTTCGTCCAAGTTCTCATATCAGCTCCGCATTTCAGACACGTCAAACTCCATTTTAAAAGTCCTGACTCCCACAGAAATTCCAAAAATACACTACGATCCCCATAAATACATCCGTGAACAAAAGACTCGTTAACAACTCCAACATCGTACCTTTTCATACTAAATTTACTCTGCACACAATCTAAAATACACGGCTGAAACCTTCCCACCACGTCTTTCATTGCAACATAGGTCATTTCAAAAACACACGCGACACGAACCAACTAGCAATTAAACTACTCCACCAAAAGATTTTTCAACGTCGACATGGTTGCCATACAACACGCAATCGCGCCATAAACCAGTGCAAAACGCATATCGCCACATTTGGTGAAATTAGGGCGTTTATCAGAGTTGTACCTTTGTTTTCTCTTTAATATTAAAAGTTAATTATTAATATTTCATTACTAGAATTGCATATTGGATAAAAGAAAATTAAATTGTATGCAGATTTTTGTTTTTAAAAAAATTTTAAATATTAATTTTTAAAAA